AAGCCATAAGAAGAAAGTGACGCCAGTGGAAGTCAAGCATGAAGCGGAAGCTCACATAACTACACATGAAGGTGGTAGTTTGACGGTCGACAAGATCAACAAGATGTTCAAAGACAGAGGGGTTCTAATGCCCGACTGGCTAATAAACGACTTGACCCAATTCAGTTCTCGAACCGTGTCCGAGGAAAGCACAATTAACTACAGCAAGAAGAAGGTGATTGAGCTTAAGGAGGAGCTTGAACAGCGGGGGATTGCCTTCCGAAAATGCGCCAAGAAGGCTGAGCTCATCAGACTCCTAGAAAACCCGAACGGGATTTTTACGGACAGTGGGAACAAGGAAAACATACCTCCTAAGATCGACAAAGCCTCGAAACAAGACGTAGACTCGGGCAAATACCCGAGCGGTGGAATCAAGCGACTGGAAAAGACGACTAAGAAGCCATCGATGCGCACAACGTCGTCGAGCTCCAATCTTAATGCTCAGCCTGCTCTAGTTCAGCCAGAGAATCAGTATGATTGTGCAAAGTGTGGCCATCTGTTTGCCTCAGAGGAATTGCATAAAGAGCCAACATCTGGCGACGCATACTATGCCTATCTAAGATATAAAGATCATACGAGCAACAAGACCTACCGTCTTCAAGTAAGCAAAACGATTTTCCTATGCTTGCACTTCGATGTTGTACCTCGTGTTCTTTCTCCTAGCTCGAATGAGCTGTCGAGAATGGGCACCAATATCATCGCCACTCTTCATACTGGCAGTCATATGTGTATTCCTCCGATGAAGATATAAATCATCCGATTGTGTTCTCCGTTAGTTGATATCGATCGTACTGGGCTCATCACAATGAGATAAAAGCAGAGACTGACAACTTCTGACATTTAGATTACAAAAAGTGGCACTGAAGATCTATACTACGTCAGGAGACATTGGGGACGCTATGGAACATCAAATTTCGCCTGCAAATATGATGTTTTTAAGAGTCCAGATGATGCTATAACCAAGTTTGGGGAAGTTTTCGAAGAGAAAACCAGTCTGGACTGGGGTAACCGAGGCATGGCGCCAAAGAAGAAGAAATACAGCTACATAAAGCCCAAGGATGGAAGTTCTCTCCAGGTTGCTGAAGATAGGAACGTCGGCTCTAGTGACAGATTGGAGTCACATCGCACGGATCTTGTCGACGACAACCTATCCCAGACGGACACCTCTCGCGAATCAGTGAAAGTGTCGCCAGGAGGATCCAATAGCGATCGTGGCGTCACCCCCACGCTCACCAAATCTCGTACTCGAGCTCGAACTCGAACTCCTACTCCTCGCAAAGGCTTGAGATCGTAAAACATTTGAAGATGATTGCGAAATGGTAGAACCACTCGCAGTCTAAGGGTTGTGTGAAATTGAATGGTTGCATATCTGCTTGTATCACATACTATAAAGTCATTTGTTTATGCGCACTTTTTAGGTAGATCAACTATTCTTTCTGTCTTGCTGTTGTGGGAGGTATGAGTAGGAAGATTCTATCATAGATACAGATACTGTCATAATCACAAATCTTTTGGCAGAGTTTTCTAGGGTTCCAGAGACTAGTCAAGCACACATTCACAAGCCGCCACGAGATAGTGACGACATTCGGGAGGAGCATTCTCTGCTTTGGCAATGACTCTGGTGGAACTGTTTGATCAGAATCATTTGCGTCAAGAGGTTCAACAAAAGATCCTTGTATCCGTTGGACCTATGTTTGGGAAAGCGCAAGTCTCTATCCTCCCAAGATGGCTGCTTTAAGGATCTCGAAAGCTCTGGAGCAGCTCTCATAGGAGGGAGACGCGATGGCAGACCTCGTATGACCCTCGACAACTTGCTCTTTTCAAGAAACTTTTGTGCCAAGCAGCTCGAATCAGCTCAGCTCAGCTTGGCTCGCCATCTTTGGAACAGGATTCGCAAATGGTCAGAAAGAGGGTAAGTAACGATAACGTAGGGCGGCCGCACAAGAAGGGATCGAGCGAAGGACGAGAGCCAGCGGTGGATGAGATGGACGTAGACACGAACGAGAGCTATATATGGACGACAATGGTCAGCTGCTGAGGCGCAAGGAAAGCACTATGCAGATTCGTAAGGCCAGATTTATGAGAACTTGGCTGACACCATAAACAAGCATCTCTCCATGCTGATACCAACAAACAGGAATTTGCCCTACATAGCAGAGGTGTAGCACTCGAGATTGGACTGGGGTGGGCGACATATGAAGCGTGAAAGCAGAAATTCTGGGCAACATCCAGCTAGGTCAAGGACTGCAGATGTAACAGAGAAGGATCAGATGGGCGGAGACGATCGCCGGCTTCTGCTAAGCTGGACAAAGAGAAAGCTGTCCTTGCTATTTATACAAAGGGAGATGGCTGTATGACGAGCTTGTCCGTATGCAGGAAGTCGTGTATCGGAGAGCGGCGGCGATCTGTGGTGGAGCTTCTTATGGTAAGACTTCTTATGGTGCGGCGGTAAGTCAAGCAGGCGATTACCCCCCTCCTCTTCTTCGCATCTCCTTTCTGGCTGCACAAAGATAGAATGACAGAGCCAAGGAGTAGTTGGTCTTGCGGCAGTCTCGAGAGGGATCGCTGGGGCCTAGGAAGAAAGCACCCGGACGATGTGGGAGGGCTTGGACCAGCCTCGACCCAACAGATCTCGGGTCTTGAGCTCCCCACAGATTAGCGATGGTGATGGCGTAATAATTCCTGGGAAGGTCGATACAAGCACTATTGGTCAAGCGCGAAAGCTGCGCACTCGGAGTTGGGTCTCGAAGGAGGGCGAGGACGAATGTCGTGACTGTGGTCGGTGCACCAAAGGCCGACGCAATGCGCAGAAGGCGTGTGTGGCCAGCGGAGATCGAGTCGTCCGGTCGTTCGGTAGCTACTTCGTTGTAATGCGCATCACCAGAGCCGCCATTGCCAATGCACAGAAGCGGCATTTGCGCGTTTCATAGTCAGGTGTGGTTACCTACGCGCTACTGTTCTTTACCGAGCACACCATGCACCATCTCTACGACTGTAAGCCAACCTCCCACAGTCTCCAAAATTCTGTCGATGTGGCTTTTCCTCACCTCATGTAGCTACAACTACGGATAACTCACGTAGCGATGTGAATGCTTCGACACTACCGATAACACCTAGCATTGCAGTTTCAAGTCATTTTAACAAACCATTGCCATCCTATCTATTTAATGCTGCAGAAGAACCGGGCCCTTACTCTGTTCCTATTGTCAGGGTGCTTTCGAGATCCGCACGGGGGATACCTAAGTCGCGGTCTACTTGATATGCATTGATCAGGTTGCAGTATGTATAGATTCCGTGACACTCTGCCATCTCTTTCACGTCTCCTTATATGGCTTAGACTCACACAGACATTTCATCATTCATTCCTTCTCGTAATCTCGCTCTGCGCTAACCTTACTGAGCAGATTGTACTTCGCCATCCTCGATAATCACAAGATATCACCTAAAATTGACAGCGTCACGTGTCCCTTCTTTCTTTCATGACGCATTTATTATGCGTGTGCTCTTATATCCCATGCTTCGTCCCCCTCAAAGGTTTCGGTTCTGACTCAAGGTTACACTGTCATCCCTCATATCTTCAAGGTAGATTAACACAAGCCCCTTTCTTGTCAGGAAAAGTCGTTTCGTGCAGTCATACTAAAAGCTCAGAAGTTTTAGCATTCCTCAGGATGGTAACACAAAATCAAGCCGTTCCAGGTTTCGATGTGGCAAAGGCAGATGATAGAGCGAAAGGTCGAACAACCAAGCACGATTACAGTCATATAAAAGTTGTTCAACTAAGGCCAAAAGTGGAGAAGGCTTTAGAAGAGAGGGGAAACTGCCCTGTGCTGACAGCGACGGCTATCGATGTCCTTCCTAAGTTGTCAAAGACGGAACTTGTGAGGATGCACGAACATCTGCTTTCAGACGAACGCAACCCAGTGCGGAAGCAAGATGACGACGACCATGTCAGAAAGGAGCTGAAAATGATCAAGCAGCTACTTGTTAAACTCGTGGACGAAGTAAATCCGGCAAGTGAGAATAGAAGAAATTATCCTGTCGAGGCCGGCGAAGTTCTGGAGCAAGATCAAGTCTCCTGCGGTCGACATGATTCATCGAGAGCAACCAGATTATCAGCTGGGATGGAAAGGAACAAGGAGTATATAAATATGGATATTGGCAGCGAGGAGCCCAAGTGCGAAGGACACAGCCGTCCTGACACCAATCCTTCATCGATCAAGAGCATGATCACTAAGGAAACCAAGGATCGAACCTACAGAGGCGGCCACAATAGCGAAATCCGCTTTGCCTCTCTCAAGTCACTAAACACGAACTTCAGAGATGCGAATGACTTCCAGAATGAAAAATCACGGGAAGGACCTGACGAATCACTAGAATATTCTGATGAATCGGGAGATTGTGATGGATCACAAGTGATACCCGATGTTTCAACAGACTCGTCATCGCAGATTCCTGTTGCTACTAAGGGATGGTTCAGCTCGTTTTCTCAGCGAGTTTATGGCACAAGACAGGAGGAGAAGGATTGACCTCACGATTCCCGAGCTCACGCCGTGAAGCCGGATCAGTAGGATCAGGCATCCCTTCTGCTACACATGGATTTTGATGTTAGGAGAAGTAAGATCCAGACAGTTATGCCACACTATTTCTTCACCATCTAAATTCTTTCGGATACAATATCAACGCTACATTAGCAAAAGACTCCCTCTAGAATATCCGCTTACAAATTGTTTACTAGCAGACTATTTTCGCCGCTAGAATTCACCTAGAGAAGGATGATATAAACCCCCGACAAGCGATTGTATCATGATTTCGTTGCTTTCCATGCCGCTCACTTCTACATAAGCCCTCATATAAGCTGCTGTTGCATCTCACGCATTGTTATATATTATTTTTGTATACCATTATGTATTCAATATCTACATTGTTGTCATTTCCTTGTGATTCAAATTTGGAGCAGGAATATCTCGTCATCAATTCCAGCCTTGTTCATCTCTAGGAGTTGAACGACGCCGATTCCATTAATATTAGTAGATCATGCAGAAGCGACGGGATCTGTGATCATCTGGTTAGAAAGAAGAGAATCAAGACAAGAGTATTCCTCCTCTAGTAGATCACGTAATGTCCGGGCCTATCGCGAGCTTAGCAGCTCGATACTTACCCCAGTGAAACGACGAACGCCGTTCCATGTGCGATACGTTTTGACAGCTCCCGAGCAATTGCGATCAGTTAGCTAGGTAGTATGGTTGCTCAGAAGATCAACAGAGCTGAGCTTCTACAAATCGAGATGTTCGCAGTCACTCGGCGCGTAACAGACTCTATTCAATAATCGAGAGGAAGGTGCGATTTGGTTGTAAACTTAAGAGGAATGTGAATACCCGAGCCACGCGCAAGACCTGCCTCGTGTCGAAGATAGGCTTGAATGACTGGAATTGTGACTGTCAAGCTCTGAAATTTGCTAATTCTGGTTTGGCGGCCATTCTGTAGCAATTTTGAACAGTCCAGATCCTCCTGACTACGATTAAAGGGTAACGGAGTATATTTTAAACGTGTAACAACTAGAATGACAAGAGGTTATAAGTCTTGATGGACGGAGGAATGATATTCGAATATGGGTCAGGGTCATATGCTCAGCAAGCGTCAGGCCCAAATGAGGTTCTCCAAATGGATGCACACATGCAGGAACACATCATCTCGAAGGTCACTGTCTTTTCTTGGCTACCTCGGGCCTTACCAGCATAAATCACGAGTTATTAGACGGGCTAGGTACGTAGGTTTGCGTAACCTCCATACATGCTCAGTCTGCATAAACATGACAATAATTCATCACTCGGATAAAGCAGGATGGAACAAGCTGCGCAAAGCTTTCGAGCAGAGTGAGCAACAAGCTGTTCAAAGATAATGATGAATGGTGTGCAAGGATTGTAGAAATGCAGCACAAGATGGTGGAAGAAAGTAAGAGGAACACGACTTGGCCGACTCGGCTTGCGCGCGCTTCTCCCAATCAGAATTCGCCTTCGACGGGCTCGCCACTAGAAGTAGATTGGCCTACAGATCGCAACTCGACGCGCAGCATTTTGAGATCCCCGCAATCAGACAATAATAGATATCAGTCCACTCATTGTTGTTCAGGATCGAGGCCGGGCTGACAATAATATCCGTGCGTACACGTATCTTATCCATAGATTTTGTAACATTACTCGACAATTATTCCTATCTATTATGTATATCATCGGTCAAAGCAGCAGGAGCACTGTTCATTTCGAGTGAGACATCCCTACACGGCTGTACGTCTTCGTCGTCGCATAAATGTCTCAGGATAACTCTAAATTCCTGTCCTGCGCTTGGTCCAGGCGGCAACCAATTCTTTTCGTAGCTCATGATTGACCGCTATAAAGACGTTTGCGAAACCTGGATCTGCAACTCTTGTTAGCATCATTACCTTGACAGAGGTAGGGAGATGTTCAAAATCGTCTGTGATGATTTGTGCCGCCAGCGTAGATGGATGACAGTCGAGCCGTCCGCAAGCCGGAGCAAGTAGGTTAGAAACGCTCAAAATTTTGGCGGCAGCCTTCTCCATCAGTGTCGATGCTTGATCCAAGCATGCCACATCGGCCTGTAGAGTCTCGCAAGAATCTGCACAGGCTTCTTGAACCTTCTGGCCATGTTCGTCGATCTCATCACAGCACTCATCTGTCTTGCCGATGATCGTCAGTCTACCATCATCGATTGCTTCCGCAACCCGAATCTCAGCCTCATCACACATCTCTTGATGTTCGTCCAGGATTGCCTGCTTCTCTTTATCTACAACATCTTGTATGATCTCACGAACGGTGTTTCCATCAACCGGAGCATTGCCGTCTTTGCTAGGCATGTCCTTCAGAGATAAGTCGAGTTTTGGTCGTTTTTTCTGGTATCGGGGAGGTTCGGCGATGGGTTCGGGTTCGCAGCGCCCTCTGCGAAAGACCGTCGGTACAATGTTCGAGGGCGACATTTCCCAGGAGTGACGACTCTTGGCGGACATAGCCGGTGAGCACATAGTTGACGTTGTTTGGGTGTCGTAAACGTCGCTCCCGAAGTGGGCCACGTCTTGGGTAGATTGTCTCACCTTGGGAGGCGTTTTGATTACCGGATGACTGCTAGCACCATCAGGGTCATCTACCTCAGTCGGCATATCGACTTCGAAGGAAGAGCAGACTTCAGTAGGGGACCATGATGGTTTGGGGGGAGCAAGGAGGATGTGACTCTGGATCAGGGGTCGCACCCTCACCTCGTGAACGCTTTCGAAGAGCGGCCTCAGGCAAGACGACTTGATTGTAGGTGGGTAGTGGGGGCAACTGGCCGAATACAGTCCAGTTTCTCTCCTGTGCGCCCAACCCTCCATTGAAGTGGGTGTAGTTTATACATGGGGGTTTTAACGCATTGTTGGTTAACGCGCAGGCAAATGTTCGGAGTCGAAGCTGGTCGCTCTTTGGAAAGTCCTGTTTGCAATAATGAAGACGAATGCTTGTTGCCTGGCTGATCCGCGAGATGGCATAGAAGTCGCCATCACCCGATTCGGCAGGGCTGATGGGATACGTTAGTCCGGGTGGCACGAGAACAACGCTGGGCTCCTTGAGCTGTAGTGATAACGTGGTGACAGCAGATACTTCTTTCACTCCCTGGAGCTTAGCCAATAGCTTGTTCGGTAGCATGTTCTTGAAGCTAGATGGAATCACCGAACATGTCGTAATCGCTCTAGGGAGTATGTTCAAATGGATTGTTCGATAGTCGTCAGTGATCCCGGCGAGTTTGAGATGGATTTTGATGGTAATGTATCCTTCCCCCTGCGTCTGGTCATAGCTTACATTCACATGAGCTAGACAGCCAACATTGTCGAGATCCGGGGCATGGATCAAGACAGCCTTCCTGTCCAATCTCCAAGGCCTCTCTCGCACTATGGATGATGTCGTCATGTCGAAAGATTGGATAGCAGGAAACCCCTCGAAGAAATCGAAGACCCTCCCACCCGGGCTCTGTGTCGAGAACGAGCAGCCCTGGCTCGTAGTAAAAGTAGTGAGATGGGAATAAACAAGAAGGAAGAAGTGAAACCATTAAGCGCACGCTTCGAAGCACCGCACTACACTTCCGTCGCTCGGAAACCTGATCACCAGTACATGCCCAATCCAAAATCAACAAGAGAAGATGGAGAGTCCTATGAGAACACAGG